TCCATGGCTTTGAGAGTGAAACCACCATGTTTCATCATGTTCGATTGTTGAATCCCATCAAACCCAGCAACACCCCCCAACAAAAAAGCATTTCTGATGGTTGTTCAATACACCATCAGCCGGGGACAAGTGGCAGCCCTACATCATCGAAATACCCAGCTGGATGGTCGGAAAACACCAAGTATTCGGTGTAGGTGCTTTTTGGCCACAACATGGAGGTCCCTACGACTGGGATCTCATAGGTATACACCAGTAATATCTCCTACGACTGCGACTGCTTGTTTCTATCCCGAAAGTTGGGCTCCATCAACAGGGTCCTGGCTTCTTTTTCCTGCGTCAATATCATCATCTTTGAGGTATTTGTAGGTACCCAGTATTGGACTCCTCAAAAGGTAACGTTGAAGCTGATTTCAACCACTATTGAACAACTGTCAACCACTATTCACCACTATTCTCTGGTCCTACCCAAAAAATATCGGCCCTCTTTCCAATTGGCTCCCTGAAACAGCCAGGATCTTGAGCGTCAGCCGAAATGTTCGGCCAAGCATTTCGGCGGCATAGAATAGCTACACTAAAATAACTGATTTTTTGATGGTGATTCCCCCAAATATGGCAATAAATAAAGGTGTTGACCCATCCCCATATGTGTCATATCTAGTTTGGTGTCACCAAACATGGCTGGGAAAGACCCGAACCTTTCATGTAGGTTTACAGCCATTTACAGCTGGGAAAATCATAAATGAGAGATTTTCCAGCAAACCATGTTTGATGACAAGGGAGGGGAGTTTAACCAGAGGTGCTCCTTAAAGAGCCCAGACAGAAGGAGAAAACTGATAAGATGGGTAGATAGAGGGGTAAGATGACCAATTTTCCAACCTTGTGGCTATCATTCACCTATCATGGGCTGGAGCAACCCGGTTAACTACTGGGCATATGGTAGGAAATACTATTTTTATCAATTAAAAAAAACTAAAATTGGCTGTGGTGTCTATCTGTTTGGGGGTTGCTGCACACGGGTGACCATAAAACAAGTTCTTCATTCGGGTGGCACCACCTTGCAGTTCATAATCGGCAATCACCATGCGGAAAAAAAAAACTGAGCATTGGTGACATCCGATGTTGTTGAATCCCAAGTGGCAAAGTCAGCAAAGTCAATGTCTTGTTCTTCTTGATATGGGGATGGGTCAAAACCCTGGTACCTAGTGAACCCCAAAATAGCTGGTAAATGGATGTTCATCCCGATTCATTCCCTAACAAATTGTATCTATAGGTATTGGTCCATAGCCATATGCCAGCTGTTGTTGCTTGTGTTTGTTGCTGGTAAAATCCCCATGATTGTTTTTGCCATATCCTCTATATTTGTCTTGGCAAAGTCTCCATCTTTCTTCCCGGAAGATCCCACAGCGTGAAGGAAAAAACTCCATCTTGCTGTTAAACTCGTTCAAATCAATTTGATGGTTAAAGAAATGCCAATAATTGTGCTGGAAATCATTGAACAGGGTTGCTCCCACCCCAGATACACGATGATACAAGGGGATATATTTTTTTAGCGGCAAATTCCACAGAAACATCAGATATCTGTTTATGTATAACTATGTATAAATTTATCTGTTTTATCTGCTTGTTATATACATAAACAGATCAAACAAGCAGGTAACCTGGCAATGCTTTCACCCAAATTTTTTTCGCGGCTTTGCGGACCAAAAAAAATGCTGGGGGACAATCTATGAAATGCTAAAAAAAATCTATGAATAATCCATCGGAAAAAAAAAATAAACATACTCTCTGGATCTCTCTGGTAATGACTAACGGTTTGTGCGACCTGGAAAATGGCCCAGTCGAAATAGTTGATTTGACCATGAAAAGCATGATGATTTTCCATAGTTTTTTGTTAACGTTTACCAGAGGGTAACAAATGCCACCCTGCAATCCTGTTTTCTGGGTTCGCGGGCAGTGCTTACTTCTTGCCTGTACGGTGGTAGCACACCTCAGGGCTGCACAAGGAAGGTGAACCAAAGTGGTTTACTGCTCGTTGTTGTTTGATACTTTGGTTGTACTATCGTGCCAGAGAGTAAACTAACGTAGCGAACTGGAAAATCACCACTATTAATGGGAAAATCCACTATTTCTATGGTTATTTTCCGTTATGTCAAATTACCAGAGGGTATCCATATTGTGAAAAACATAAATTATGACTATTGATATTCAATACGACTTGACGTGTAGGATGTTCTAATCTTAGCATTACTTGTGCGACATGATATGTTTGGTATCAATCATTTTGACTTGCGTTGTAGTGGTACTTGTGTTCGTTAAATTACGAATATGATTCTTATTCCCAAATAAATTATCGATATCATTGATTCGATGTTGTGATTTATTGGCTGCATGGATAGATAGTTATTGATAGTAATGAACTCCAATTTGTCATAACTGGGTGGGATTCCAACCACTACAAGACCTCGTGCCCATCCATTCCCATGGAATTTTCACTCACTGTCGAACTCGTCTGCGACATTTTCGGGATGCCGTCGCACCCTGAGCTTGGAAGCGACGAGTTTGCCAAAGCGTCGCAACCCTCGAAAGCACCCTGCCCGATTCTCTTCACCATGTGGGGAACGGTCAAGTTCGTCAAAGAGCTGCAGTGAGAAAAGGCTCTTTTCCCGATTTCCGTCACAGAGCTGGGGATGGTCAAGCAAGTCAAAGATGTGCAGCGCGCAAATGCCTCCTCTCCTATTTTCACGATGGACTCTGGAATGCTCAAACTCGGAAGAGAACGACAGTCACTAAATGTATCGGGTTTAATCTCGGTCAAAGAATGTGGAATTGTCACGCTCGTCAAAGCGCTGCAACCCTCAAAAGCGCCGTTCCCAAGTTCAGTTACAGACTCCGGGATGGTCAAATCCGTCAAAGCATCGCAACCCTCGAAAGCACCCTGCCCGATTTTCTTCACCGTGTGGGGAATGGTCAAATTCGTCAAAGAGCTGCAGTGAGAAAATGCTCCGTCCCCGATTTCCTTCACAGAGCCAGGAACGGTCAAGCAAGTCAAAGATGTGCAGCGCGCAAATGCCTCCTCTCCTATTTTCATGACTGACCCTGGAATGGTACAACTCATCAGAGAGTGGCAGTCTTTAAAGGTATAGGGCCTAATTTCGGTCAAAGAATGTCGGATTGTCACGCTCGTCAAAGCGCTGCAACCAGAAAATGCACCGGTCTCAAGTTCAGTTACAGACTCCAGGATCAAGTCTGCCAAAGCAAGGCAACCCTCGAAAGCACCCTGCCCGATTTTCTTCACCGTGTGGGGAACGGTCAAATTCGTCAAAGAGCTGCAGTGAGAAAAGGCTCTTTTCCCGATTTCCGTCACAGAGCTGGGGATGGTCAAGCAAATCAAAGATGTGCAGCGCGCAAATGCCTCCTCTTCTATTTTCACGATGGACTCTGGAATACTACAACTCATCAGGGAACTGCAATCAAGGAAGGTATAGGGCCTAATTTCGGTCAAAGAATGTGGAATTGCCACGCTTGTCAAAGCGCTGCAACCATCAAAAGCGCCGTTCCCAAGTTCAGTTACAGACTCCGGGATGGCCAAATCCGTCAAAGCGCTGCAACCAACAAAAGCGCAGGGTCCGATTTTTTTCAAAGTGTGTGGAATGGTTACAGTTCTCAAAACGCTGCAATGAGAAAAGGCTCTTTTCCCGATTTCCGTCACAGAGCTGGGGATGGTCAAGCAAGTCAAAGATGTGCAGCGCGCAAATGCCTCCTCTTCTATTTTCGCGATGGACTCTGGAATGCTACAACTCATCAGGGAACTGCAGTCAAAAAAGGTAAAGGGGCTAATTTCGGTCAAAGAATGTGGAATTGCCACGCTCGTCAAAGCGCTGCAACCCTCAAAAGTGCCGTTCCCAACTTCAGCTACAGACTCCGGGATGTTCAAATCCGTCAAAGCATCGCAACCCTCGAAAGCACCCTGCCCAATTTTCTTCACGTGGGGAATGGTCAAATTCGTCAAAGAGCTGCAATGAGAAAATGCTCCGTCCCCGATTTCCTTCACAGAGCCAGGGACGGTCAAGCAAGTCAAAGATGTGCAGCGCGCAAATGCCTCCTCTCCTATTTTCATGACTGACCCTGGAATGGTACAACTCGTCAGAGAGTGGCAGTCTTTAAAGGTATAGGGCCTAATTTCGGTCAAAGAATGTCGGATTGTCACGCTCGTCAAAGCGCTGCAACCAGAAAATGCACCGGTCTCAAGTTCAGTTACAGACTCCAGGATCAAGTCTGCCAAAGCAAGGCAACCCTCGAAAGCACCCTGCCCGATTTTCTCCACCGTGTGGGGAATGGTCAAATTCGTCAAAGAGCTGCAGTTGCGGAAGGCATGCAGCGCAATTCTAGTCATAGACTCCGGGATGGTCAAACTCCTCAACGAGCTGCAGCATTCAAAGGCTGAAGCTCCGATTGCAGTCGCAGACTCCGGGATGACAACTCGCACCAGGCAACGACATGAAGAAAAGGCCTCGGGCTGGATGCTTGTTACAGTGTCAGGGATGCAAACGTCAAGCAACTTGTCCACCCTGCAGCCAGATGCCTCTTTGCTAACACACTCAATTGCCGGCTTGACGTGGAAGAAGACCTGCGCTCGGGCGCAAAACATTCAAGAATGCAATGGCATATTGATTTCTGACCCCTGAACCCTAGAAGCAAAAACAACATCGGTACCCAAACCAAAACCAAGTTTGGCTTTGGCCCTCAGAGCAACGAGTGTTTCTATCGTTGAAGTGACGTATACTTTCCCTGTACAAGCTGTTAGCCATGAATGAATCAGCAAATAGCTGGAACATGCTGGAACATGCTGGAACCTACGGAATCGGGGCTCACCCCTCATTCAAACCCATTATAATCCATTATATCATCATTGTATCATATTATATCCAAGTCACAAGTCATTCTTTGACTATTGAAACTCAAGCATTACAAGTCATTCTTTGACTCAACAGCCTGTGGAATCAACGACTCAAGGCCTGCACTTTGGCATGGTCAGGCAACGACTCCGCGACGCTCATCGACTCATCATTCAGCTTCGCTCCATCCAGGACAATCTCCACGCTGCTGAGTCTCCGGATGATCTCGTCACTCGATGGATGGAACGCCTGGGGAAGGTCCAAAGAGGACCCCAAGCCTTGGACCAAACATACCCCAAAGCGATTGGATGAAAAGATCACTTTGGCTACCTGGAACCTGGTATCAGTGTTCCTATCATTCTTTAATATGTCACAGATTGTCACACTATGTCCCTCAAAGATCTCTCACAGGTGTCCCATTTCCATGGATCCAGAACTTTTACCAATACACAACAAGATGTAAAAAATGTAAAAACTTGGGCCCTACTTCATTCTCAACCGAGCTTTTGAACATTGCACACCTTCACTTCCTCCTTCAACTGTCCGATCGTCATGTCTGGTGTCACTTCCAAACTGGCACCTTCGCCACTCAGCAATTCCACCTGGATCCGCACCATGGCGGCCATGGCCTTCGACTTCGAAAGTCTTGAACCACGCACTGTGAGGAACGGGTCTGTCCAAAAATGGGAGGATACCCAAGATATTAGCCATGTCTATGGGGAAACTGAATAGAAAGCTTGGGGGTTCAGTATTTATTTCCAAATCCCAACCCCAACTAAAATGCTGCCTGAATACCATGTCTGGTTCTCAAAGTCTGCATGTTTGGTTCCAGGATATCTATCACCAGGAGCTCCCTTATGGTTGCGGTTTAAAACTTGTTGAGCTGCAGTTCACATCCTAAAAATCTTGCCACAATAGTCCGTAACGTCAGATTCCTTTCTGTTTTGACCCATACCCATATTGGGTACATAGCTGTGGTTCTCCACACTGTTTGCTGATTACTTTCCTAGGAGAAACCATTGGTGTTCCACATCGACTTTCATGTTTACCCTAGGGGCCCGTTCAGAACAAGCCATGGAAGCTTTAACGACAAAAAAACATCGAACTCAAGGGGGGATCTCCCAGCAAGCCATGTGAAAAATCGCCGGATGGTAAATTACTCAGTCATAAATATGATGTTTATCCCCATTACCATCTGGTTATGACTAACAGTTCGCCATGGGATTTCGATGGCCCTAATCGAAGGCCCTAATCGAAATAGATGGTTTACCGTTCTTAATAGCATGGTGGATCTTTCCCTGGCGAACTGTTAGTCATAACCAGATGGTACACATCCTGCCTTTGTTCCCTGTCTCACTGACTCACCTTCCCATGGTGATACAGTAGATCTAGGGTAGTACGTGATGAAAAATCCATGCGATGACAATCCAATGCGTTGTGACTTGTGACTGAGCATGAATCCAAGCTTCAAGCATGTCCAATATTCAATGGCTTTATTCACATTTGTTGCTGGTGATATACTTCATGTGATTCATGCGGGCTTGTCTGATTTTGGGAAAACGGAAATTTACCAATGGGAGTTGGTGTGGCTACGGGCCAAAACCCGTGGCACCCTTCTGTTCACACCAAAACCTAGCTGGTCCTGTAAATGGATGTTCATCCGCCCTAATTTGTGGAAGATCATAGGTTTTAACCCGGTCCTCATATCATATCCTTGTCAACGATTCATTGACGATATCATGCTGTTTTTTAGAATTTGATATCCCTTTTGATTAATTTACTTTTAATATATCCTTGGAAGTATCAAGTTTCATTTGTCATGTTGATTCTAAGTTGGTTCCAAACCCAATTGACTCAGTTAACTAGTTCGATACAATAATCATCGATCTATCCCAAGCTTCTCACCCATCGGTTCATTTGCTTGACTCTTCATAACCCTTATGCGCAGTCAAATGACAATGTATATATATGGTTGGTGGATTCAACCCATCTGAAAATATGAAAATCAGATTGGATCATCATCCCAACTATCGGGGAAAATAAAATTCATATTCCAAACCACCAACCAGATAGTTACTATAGCATTAATAACCATAGTTATCCATAGTTACTATAGCATTAATGGTTGATGATGGTTGGCCAATGACCCAAGTGATGTATATATATATATATGTATACCATAAACCCTAGTGATTCCCACGTGGCTTTGTCATGCGCCGTCACTCAACGGACCGTTTCCGAACGCCGCCACCGAGAGCCGCACAAGCCGCAGTAGGGCAGCTCGTCCAACTCCTGAGATCATGGTGGCCATGGGATTTTTGGTCAACTTGCTGTGTTCAATAAATTTGGTCATAATGATGCTACTACATGTAGTTCTGTGGGTATTCTATATATATATAACTATATATATATAATATATATATACACATTATCATTATGTGTGTGTGTTTTTGTTTATTTGATGTTGTTTTTTCGCAAATTTCTTGATGTTATAACTAGTGTATCTTGTATAGTATTGTTTTGATATTGATTGTGTATTCTATTGGTGCATGTTGTGTTAAATTCGATGATAGATAACCCGCAAGTTCGTAAAAAAAAAGTCTGTGCAGCATCCTGAAAGAAGCTGGATCACTTGAACAAAGCCATGCTGGGTGTTCATATTGAATTTACCCTCTGGTAATTTAACGTAGCTATTGAAAATGACCATTTATAGTGGATTTTCCCATTAAAAATTGTGATTTTCCATAGCTATGTTAAATTACCAGAGGGTGATTTTCCATAGCTATGTTAAATTACCAGAGGGTGATTTTCCATAGCTATGTTAAATTACCAGAGGGTAAGGGGCGCCAAAATTCCCAACTGCCCAATGTGTGCCAGCAGATTTGCTATTGGGTGATGCTTGGTTACATGGAACTGTGGGGTCCATTTGTTGTCATCTGTAATGGATATGCCATCGGTCACAAGAGGTGCAACCAGGATACACTGGCGAATCAGATTCCACTATCCTGATCCGCGAAGCCCTGAATTCGTAGTGAATCAGTTCATTTTATCATTGGATTGGTTTAAGGGAAAATCTACAGGAAACCATGGTTTTTACCATCAAATATAGGGCTTTCCTGTAAATTATCCCATCATCCAATTCTATGATTTTAGGGTCTTTCGAGCACGGCAATACCTTTGAAACGGGGTTTCCCAAGGCTGGATCTCTGCCTGAAATGCTGTGATCCATGGTAATTTGGGCTCAAAAATCTTCGATGGCTCAAAATAGGCGAATATAGTCTGAGAACTTCTTCGATCAACAGATTGAATAGTCATCATGATCTGGTTGGTGGTTTTAACCATCTTGAAAAATATTAGTCAGATGGGATTATTGTTCCCAATATATGGGAAAATAAAATTCATGTTCCAAACCACCAACCAGTGATGCTGTTGAATAGTAAACAATCCCATGCACCTCAAAGTTTAGTTTATTTCTCCAACAAGATCATTTTTTGTGTCATAATGATTACATATCCCATCACGTATCCCATCATTCTCCCAAAATATTTATCCCATGGTATATCCCATCACTATCACATAAAAATCTTTATATATCCGATGATCATCCCATTATCATACCATTATCAAATCAAACTAGATATAACTTGATATGGATTGATGGGATGTTAGCGGGATGATAATGATCCATTCATTTTCAAGAATTACCCTCTGGTAATTTAACATAGCTATTGGAAATGGCCCAGTCGAAATAGTGGATTTACCCATTGAAAGCCTGGCGATGTTCCCATCAAGAGGGTATCATCCAATCCACCCATTGGTTTAACCATGTCCGGCTTTCCCATTGGTTGATGAATAGAGAGGTGTGGATCATCCCAGTGGGTCGAAGATGGCAACGAAGAGTCGTGATTTTTTTACTGATGATCTGATTAACATTTAATGGGATAGTGAGATTATATATATAGTGGTGAAAAAGGAATCTGATCTGATTACACAATTATACTTAAACATTAAATATATGATACGTGTGTTTAACGGAAACCAAAGGAAATATAACCACAAACGATGCTGTGGAGTAATCATCCGACTAAATGCAGGGATCCCGGGTCAAATAAAGAACAGTGTTCGGGCTTCAATCTCCAATTCAAAGAATGTCACTAGCAGATCATCATGGAGGAAAAACATATGTATGTACATATATATAATTATATATATATATTCAAACCCCAATGAAGACAGGACGATAGCAGGGAAAGCTTGGCCTCATTGCTCCAGCAACCCTCCAGCAACCAGGGTTTACACAATTCCTGAACTGTGATTTCATTGGCATTGCTCACAATAGATATTCTCAGGTCTAAATTTCTGGCAACGAAAAGACAATTTTGACGTTGTCTGCTGAAGATGATATGATGTACACCAGTTGCCCAAGTTGCAACAGCTCTTGCATTGAGCAGGGAGAAGTAGACTCTAGAGCCTTTGGAAGGAGGATTGCTCACAACGGGCTTCGCTGACAGGTTTTGCCTTGATAACATAGCCTGGATTCAAATCCATCTCGAGCAAAGGTGCAGGTCTCTGCTTCAAATGCCGAATAATCGCAGGCAGTTGAGCCAATCACGGCACCAGCCACCAGCCAAGTCATGCGGCCCTTGTAGGCACCGGTTCTACCGCCGCAGCCACCGGGCTCTCTGCAGTCCAGTACTTGACGGCATCTTGGAATATGCACATCACCATCTTGACGAGTTGGCCATACCTTGACTGGCCCTGCAAATCAAAGCCTATGTGGTCCACTGAACTCGACCATCAATTTTTTAGGGGATCGGGACATTCTGATATAAGCATCTTTTGGCAATAATCAATCTTGCAACCAATAAATGTCACCACAAAACCCAAAAATCCCCTGAAAACCATCAGGAAAATCCATCGTAAATTCCCATCGAAAACGGTGTTTCTCGCAACAGAGCCAGCCTCCTCTTTAAAGAGTGATTCCTGGGCGGAAAGACCACACTAGAGGTTAAAATATGGACATAGAGCCAAGAGGAATGATGTGGTTTAGGTGACCATAGTGGAGATATTCATGCTGTGACTATCGGAATGTGTTTTGAACCACCCAGAAGCTGGGCAGCATCGGGTGCCTTTAAAATGGGGAACTCAACAGTAAACCAACTCTCTCAAGGAATTGTAGAGCCCTCCAAATGGCAAAATGAGGTCCTGTTTTTTTTTCCTAGCTATGGATATTCATAGCCTATGGGAAAATCTCGCAGTAGGTTTTGACCCACCTAGCATTCTCCTATGTTATCCCAAAGTATCCCATGAGGATTGACTTTTGCCCTAAATCAGGCTCCATCCCCTTTTTGATTTGAAACGGATTTTATGTTGTCCAACCGAAAGACGGAATGTTCTAACCACAAATGCACTTGTTGCCCCGTGTTATCCCATGGTATATCTTAAGTATCCCAGTTTAGTCTAAATTAAAATCAGGTTGGTGGGTTACATCCCAAAGCATGGTTGCCTTTTGACACCAAAACACTGTGTTTTCTCTCCCTTCATAAAACTTGTATGTGTATATACGTGTATATATATATACGTATATACGTATTACATGTATATAGATATATGTCAATAGCCAATA